TTATTAGTGTTTAATTTCTTTGATTTCTTACGTTTCTTAGACTCGCTATTATTCAATATATTTGATTCGTTCGCATCATTCACTTCAATGTCTGCATTGATATTATGTCCTAAACTCTGTTCGAGTAATTTTCGTTTCAATTTCTTCCTTTTCTTGCGATTATTTTCACTCAAATTAGAGTCCGTTTCGGAATTATTTGAATTACTATTCGTTTCATTACTTAAATTAGTATTAGTTTTTTCATCACATGTGTTGTCCTCTGCAGTCAAACAACTGTTCTCTTCAATAATCACTTCATCACTGCTTTTAGTGTCAATGATATCATCCATCACTTGCGATGAATTCATTTTAAGCTTCAATTTATTCATTTTTGTTTTGAAATATTCATTCATATTTAAACTGCTTTCCACTGTTTTGAACGCGTCGTCGGTCTTAATGTGATTACAATTGGTATTATCTGTTTGTAAAGGTTGGCAACCATTGGTTTCCATTGAATCGTTTCCAATATTCGCATAATTATTGGCTCTCTTTTTGGGAAATATTGAAATCAAGTCCTTTTCCGTGCATTGACTCAAATTCTTGGCTTTAATTAACTTATGATAACTGAAAACAATGCATAAAAATTGTCATCAATTTGATTGTGAGAAGTGATGACTGCAAACACATACTGAACTCTGTTTCGCATCTTTTTGGACATTGATTCCAAGTCTGAGACCTTTTTTGTCTCATTTGATCCATTGGTATAATGAGTGGCCAACTCTGCCAACAGGTCCTCGTAATCGTTATTCTTGTCGATCCACGCGCTGTCGGCCGACGGCTTATACCCGAGACCTGTATTATAATGTCATTGAAATGAAAGCGCAAACCACTGACCACTCAATCATACCTTTATTATCTGAATTGATGGACACTTTGATGTGTTCTTTGATGCCGTTGTGATCTCTACCCAATCCATGTCCTTCTGTCCAACCCATCGATTCCAGTATTTTTTGTCCAATTTTAGTCTTATCTGAATATCAATGCGTGACTTAACACATATGCCATCATTCGCTTCACTGAGACATACCTTCGGACCAATACTTTCCCCTCGGATTCAAAGACCAAACGGTCTTTCGTTTTGGTTCGGCCAACATATGGACCAATCGGTGATTGTCTGCACCGAGTCTTCAGTCACTGTTCACTCAATACGAATACTGCGATCGAAAGGCAATAAATAGCACACAAGTGAAGGCAAAGCACGTGTGGAGGCATTAAAGGCCACAACAATCACATAAATAATGTCATATTTGCCCCTATTTTACATGCATTGCACAACTTATGCCAATCACCAGGTAAAGTTTAATCAGCATTATTAAACTTACATAATTATTCTTTATATCAAATTAAACCTTAGATAATACTGTTTTAAACTATATATAAATCATGGTAATAAGTCTCTGCGTTTTTATAGTGTGAACTGAAATTAATTTTGTGTTCAGTTTATAGATTACGTTATGTTGTAGTGTAAGAATGTGCTGAACAACTATGACTCGCATGAGTTTACATAATAAAACTCTCCTAGGCTCTCATTAAACTCTCCTAGAGCACATACTCATTGTAGTGTAAAGATATTGTAAAAATATAATGTAAGATTGTTTTACTAAAAACGTCATTAGAAGTATCATTTTCCATTGATCACGAGCAAACCTCCGAACATGGCCAATTTTCGACTATATTTTTGTAGAAATTGAATCATGTTGTATTTTACAAAACTGTTTCCCGAAAAATCAAAACGATATGATAAAAGTTGTTTAAATGAGTACAAATGTATCAACGATTGTGATCGTTAAAAATTCTTAGCTACCCTGAACATAACAATGACACCCAATCGATGGCCGTCGGTGATGGTCAAACTTATATGCGAGACCGATGTCAACAATATTGGCCTAAAATACAGTCTACCCTCGGTTTTACACACGCAATAAACAAAAATTTATAATTATTGTTCACATGGCATTTTGTACATTAAAATTTGCCCAAGTTTCTTTAAGAAATATGAGTTTGTCTATTTAATCATTAATTTTTAATGCTTATGTAAATTCGGGATTTGTTATTACAAAATGAAAGTACACTTATAGTTATACTGTATAATGCACCTCATATGGCACAATGACCTCAGGTTTGGCCGCAATGACCACTTTTATAAATATTTAATAGTATGCATAACAATAATGTCAATAACCCGATCTCACATTATCTCGCTCCCTCGTTATAATTGGATGATATTGTGGGTGTGTATGAATGCGTTTGTATGGCTTGAGTCAATGGGGGGCAGAAAAAGGGAGCGTGAGA